GAACTCTTCTATTGTTGCCTCCAGTAGCTATATTATTAATAATCTACTGCATAGCAACGGAAACGTGTTTACCTGATTGTTTCCCCGAAACGGTCCCTGTTTACGGAGTCACTACTTGGCAACGGACTATACGTCACAATACAAAGAACCAACGCGAGAAATCGGGGTGATTTGAATGATAATATTAAAAATGATAATTTTTATGTTACAACGGAAGAGATTGCAATAAAAATTTGGGAATTTTTTCCTTCGGGAGTGCACATGTAGAAACCAATCGGTCGCTTCTGCATCAAGGGAGATGAGATCTACGAGACACGATTGTGTTGGCAAGTTTAATCCCATCCTACTTTATGACTAATTCTAATACTACCCTTCCGCCAGCGCCTTGGTTTCTCTGTTAGTGTCTATTAGTCTATTCAGACTTCCAGCAACAATTTTGTTTGTACTCAGGCTTTGGCGAGAGTTAGCAGCGATTTCGAATCCTCTAACCCCAAATTTCCAAAAACAGTTTGATCTCACTAATGCCATTTTGCCAATGCCAATACGTAACAACCGCCATTTCCAAAAGGTGTCTGTATTGCAATGAACAAAAACAATGTGACGTATAGACCCATTGCTAGGCAACGACTCGGTAAACACATTCCCGTGGGAACCAACTAGCGCAACAATAGGGCATCAACTGCTAGGGAACGGATAAGTAAACAGACCTCCTTAAAATTGGAGCCCGTTTTCTGCAAGGTCCTTGCAAAGTGGTTATGAAGAAGCGTTCGGCAGCTTAGAAAAATATAGAACAGTAATCAAGAAGTGAAAAGTGGAGTTTCGAGACGCCAGCCTGCCAAGATATGAGCTCATGGGTAAGGGAATTACCCGAGTAGAGTCTTCGGAATTGTCTGACGCAGAATAATGGCAGGAAATGCGTTAGAAGTTGACAGGATGACTTTATGCGTGATTTGAAGTGATGGACTCTTATAAATCCGTTACCAGGATACGACTAGTAAAGACTGGAAAGTGTGTAGATCAGAGACGGCGCTGTATAGCCTGTAGTCCCGAGTGGCGTGAATGTATAAGGTGCAATTTATCCAATCATCCAATCCGGAAAAATAAAACGTCTATAATCAATCACCCGTAGACATGTCAATAATTTTATAATTGTTCAGTTCTGCGTTATAATATATATGTAGTCTTTTTAAACATGTCAGCCTAAATTTTTTATTCATTTTTGCATTTCAAGAATGTTGACAATTTGCCCGGCCATCCACGTAGCAGTATGCGGATGAGTAATATTCTGTGGTTCCTTCAAGGCCTCAATTTATAATTGAATGACACGAAAGTTTTCATTTGTTTACTTTTAGCAATAAAATTAAAATTTTATAAGCACTTTCTTACAATTTAATTTATTTTATGGCTGTGTTGCTGTTATGACGGCATAATTAAGTATACAACGAGATATATGGAAAATTAACCTTGACTTTGTACTATCTTAGGCTCGTTTGTTCCTTTAACCTTCTGAAGCGTGAAATTATCTGAATAATATTCAGAAATTAGTTCCTACTTCAGTGAAAGCGCCCTGGGTGTCAAATAAAGATATTGGCTAATGCTATTGAAGGAAAAAACAGGCCGTGGAGGCCCATAGGGTTGTGAGACGTCGAGGCTCCCACATTTTCTAGAAAATCGGCTCACAGATGACAGTGAGGATGCCAGAATTACGCACCGACGGCCTTTTACCCCCAGGAAAACCATATTGCTTCTGGAAGGATTAGGCAAATTTAAAATGCTAATCGAACCCGCGACCTTCCGTCTTGTAACACAGTGCCTCAACGAACTACGTTACAGCGTGCCCCCCGTTACCACTGTGCTTTAGATATTTGATTGTAAAAGCTGTACAATATTATGTTGATTTTGCCTCCATTAATTTCAATCAATAAATTAAAAATGTGTAAATTATGTACTGCCTGAGCATACGAAAGCAGCCGCATGAGGTAGTCTTTCTTGAAAAGCTGACAGTCGTTCAGCTAGTCTAGAAGTTCCCTACATCATGCACGGGTGTAATCTTAAGATTATTTATGGTATTTAAAGAGCTCAATTCTAGCTACCCCGTCGAAAGATTAATCCTATCCACATCCGCACAATCTCTTTAACATCCATTTTAATATTATCTAACTATTATTATACTAGTATCTCGTAAATGTTCTCTTTCTTTCAGGTTTTACCTATTAGAATTTCGTGGGCATTTCTCATCTCTTCCATGCGTACTACATATTTCACCCATCACATTTGCTTGGTTTGGTCAGTCGAATAGTGAGATATTTGGTGAAGAGCACAAATTATAAAGTTCCTCCATTACGTAATTTTCTCCACAATTTTTTTTTCTGCTGCGTTCGTATTCTACTCAGCAGGCCTACACAGTTCCCAGACTCCTTCCTTAATGTAACCAGTTCCGTAAGAATGCAGGAAGTTAGTAAGTGCCCTAACGAGACCTGGAGACAGTGTAAGGATGAATGTTATATTTAGCTTAAACGCGCCGGCTTATGATGTCGCAAAATGTTCGCGAATTTTTAACCTCGATAGTAAGTGGAGAGTTTTTAGCTTTACGCTCTGGCCGCATTGTCATCCCGAAGAAGAGTCCACTGCTGCTAATTAGCCAGAAGCTTTCGGTGAAGATAAAATATACAAATTAATTTCTAACATCATATAACATACATAGGTCTCACAAACTTCAGAACAAAAGTTAATTTTTATAAAAATAAAAGTAAATTTTGAACGATAAGCCTTGCGGTGGATACGGTTCGTCGTTTCATAAACATCTGTAGCCACCTGCTCACGCTGATCCCTCGCTGGCGGATTTTTCTACCATGAAGATGGAGGCGATACGTTCCTCTGAAACGTCGGTTTACACAAGATCTACACGGCCCACATCTCAGAAGACGGCATTCTTTATAGTCAGCGCTGTGAAAATCTCAAACATCAAATCTCAAATCTTACATGAAATATATAGTAGCTTAAGTTTAGGGCCGCGCCTTAGCTAAAGCGGTTAGTCGCTGGCTTCCCACCGTGGAGGCCCGGGTTCGATCCCGGTTCTGGTCAAGGGAGATTTGTGGTGGACAAAGTGACTCTGGGGCAGGTTTTCTCCGAGTTTCGGTTTCCCCTGCCAATCTTCATTCCACCAATTGCTCCAGAATCACCCTCACCTATCATCTGGGGCTGGTACAATAGACCAGAAGTGGCCGCAGTACAAGGGACGTAGTCCCACCCCACTGGCAATAATAAAAAAAGAGCTCAAGTTCTGTAGCATATACTATTGGATAGACTAGGTCTTATAGGATTTGCTGAAGAGTAATTTCTTGCCCGAAGCCAGACCGCCGGGGTCATCAGTCCCAATATGCAGGCCGAGTTTTGAATCCATGAAGATAATTACTCAGCCAAACCGCTGACAGGTGCCTACTTTATTGCTTGGGAAAGGAATTTTGTTTTCTGTAGGACTGCAAGCCTAATGAGAGGATACAAAACGGCGTGTTACTTAAATCGACAGGTTGGTCATTGCGACTTGGCTAGCCAAAATCTTCCGTTATCCCGTTTTACCCAGTCACTTCCAGAGGTGGTGGAGATGTAGTGCTGTGGTGCTATCAAATTCTGCCAATCAACGGGGTCCGAATTGCCGGCACTATTAGGGATTTATCTCTTCGTCACCTCGTCCAGATCGACGGAGCTTCTTACTTAATGGGTAGGAGCTCTGGGGGCTCGTTCCCCGAGGGGTTAAACGGGCGGGCCATGATTCTGATAATTCGCCCTCATGTAGTGCTCAGCTTAGAAACGTGTGGATTTATACCTCCACAAGCCACAGGGCCTGCGCCTTCCTGACGTGATATTTATTTAAACAGATCAATTTGACTAAAGAAATCAACTCCGAAATCAGTCTGGGTGTCAATTTCGAATAATCTGTCTTCATGAGAAGTGGGAGAAATCATGGGCTGCTTAAATTGGATCGTCATTGGCGGAGTTCAATTATATGCTTCGGGCCTATTAATCCAGTTTTATGTAGGAGAAGCCATGAAAAGTGTCAGAGCTGGCATGAAATCGAAATAAAAGGATTGCATGAAGATATGACTGTATATTCATTTTGCCAGTCGACTATTATAGAAACTGAAAATGTCCTAGCAGAAGCGGTGTTTGCGAGCCGGTAAAGTTCATCCTTGAAGATCGTTAAGAATAGAATAATAGGATAATTTGTTTGACAAGCACTTTTATTTTACACTTATTGTAATTGTTTATTACGTTAGATTAGTAAAATATTTCGAGTTTGATGTAATGTGCTTCAAGTTTTACGATTTATGTATTTTATTACGTAAATGATTAACTAAGCCTATTATTTGCAGTGTAAATTAAATTCGATTAGTAAAATACTGATTATAAAATTAACTTTAAAATGTGTATTAAACTTCACATTATAATTCGTTTTCGATATTATAAAATTTTAGTTGTTTTTCTTAGTACCGACGTAATTTGCCCATGGGGTCCGTGCAGTTTTTATCTGCACAAAGTTTTGTGACTTCTTCCTGCATTCGCTGTTTGTTGCTGTTATGTATTAGACATTCCATGAGTTCTGTATGAAGCATAGATCAGAATTAGTCAAGTCTGCGCGCCGATGTTTTCATGAAAAACTGAACTTCTTGATTTTCATGTTTAGATTATTTTTTGTTATCTACACCAGAAAAGCACCTTTATTTCTATGCGTATGCTAGACAGGGAACCCCGTACATTATCACGCTTTGGCACTGCATGCATCTGAGCGGGAAGCCTCACCCACCTTTACCCCTGCGGAGACTACTGGTTTCGAACACTCGCGGCTGAATGCTCATCCGATACAAGCGACAGCGCACGCTGCAATAATATTCAGTGGTTTCCGCGCCCCTATGCCGTAGAGACATACTAATATTTTGGCTGGTGAAATGTCATTTAAATAGCCCTGTTGGTGTATTCTGACAGCTCTCACGCAGACATACCTTATGAGGTGGCCGGTTGCCCTTTGGTGCAGGTCCAACTCCGTGGTGAAACGATACGTTTCGAACCGTCCCGTGATATCCACTCGAACAAGCGATGGGAATTAACTCCGAGATAATGCAATAAACCAATAAAAATCGTCCGCGAGCACTCACAGACACACACACAGTCACACACGCGAATAAATCAACAGGAACAAGAAAAATAATTACTGTTAAAAATTGTACGTCACTTATCACTAATAGGTGCTCTTTTGTCTTTGGTTTTTTTTTGTAAACACTTGTCACGTCAACAATAAACTAAACCCCCCCGTGTCAGCGTCTGAAACCTACTGACTTACCGAGCCCAGTAAGCACTGTATTCTCTGCTGCAAAGAGCCAAATCCCCCTAGCTTTCCCAGCAATCTCCCGTACATGCATTCCTCTTTCATAGGGATCCACCGAAAAGCGCCCTTCCAACATCTTTATCCCCACTCTATACCTAAACCGCAACTCCCACTCTAAATGACATCATCATACGAAGCAACCAATCACGTACGAGGTAGGCGTGTACAAAATGTATTACCCGGCTGTCTATCTCAACCTAACCATAACTCTGATTGGTTGTTACTTAAGGTACTTCCCTCCAATTCTTATTCGGGGAAATAAAAAGAAAGGTATGATTTCTTTTCATGTAATACCATTGTAATAATACACCTTCAGGTGGAATCACTGTAGCGGAGGGATGGCTCGCCTTTACAACATAAAATGGGAGTTGTTTGTTTTTTTTTCTTTTACCACAATGACAAAACAAAAAAGTGGAAGACTGGAAGTAACAAAAGAGGGACGTTTGTTCTAACAGCCATGCGCTGTTGTGGTTGCCAAGAAGGGGGAACAATTGCAACATGAAACTGCTTGAAGCAGCCGGCCATGTAGGAAACATCCCATTGTAGGGCAGCTAAAGGCAGTCATTCAGAGCACAATGTTGACTTATCGTGTTCGCACAATAACCGAATTAGACCTACAGGCAACTTCATTACTGCAGTAACAGGTCTCTGCTTTCGCGGGTCCTTGCGGTAACACTTCATCGCGACCTCGAGACCTACATGTAGTAAATAACTGCATAGGTCATAGTCCTACTTGAGGAGCTGATAGTCGCGCAGTTGGTCTGTCTTCCAGCATTCTGCTCTCAATCAACACACACCCCTGCACAGTCTAGGATTTGGGGTTCCCACTGCGGGGGTTATGAAGAATTTTATCTTCTGGGATATAACATCACGTACTCTACCGAAAGTCAAACGACGTTTCGTTGTAAAGTGACACCTCCGTCTTCAAGGTCGGATAGTAAGCCAAGCAAGAAACTAGCAGAAGAAGGCGGCGAGCCAGTGTAGGTCAACGCTACCAGCATCTCTGTGGAGTGACTGGCTAGCTCAGTGGTTCTCAGCATTCGTCAGATTGCTCTCCGGTACCGGGCCACAGCCCGGCAGTTGAGAAACGCTGGGCTAGGCGACTCGAGGGGAATAAAGAGAAGTACGCTATGGTGGGGAGCGTAACAGTTGGGAGGGCAGGGTGAGAATTTACCATGGAACTTCTTTCCGTGGCCTCAGTATAGTAAACAAATGTAACTTCATGCTACAGTTCTATTCTCTTGTAGGCCTATATTTGACGTCTTTGAATTATTGATGTTTTTAAATGAACCTCAGAGGATCTCTAGGTTTTCTCAGGGCTCACCCTCCTTGCGCGGGGATCGTCCGATCACGAGGACGCAGCTCCAGAGTTTCGGGAATGGGGGTGGTTCATGTATATGTTGTGGGCAGCTTTAAATACTTGGTTCGAACCTCACAGAAAACACCGATGAATGTGGCAGCCACTCCCAATAATCACTAGGCAACAGAACAAAGAGACTGTCAGCTTGTAACTATAATACATCACCGATACCAGACAGGTAAAAGGGTAGGGGTTAGACGAAGTGTAATCCCTGGTTCTCCAGATTGGGGCTTGGGCGGGGGCTAAATACCCCTCCCGAAAAAATGTACTGTCACGAAACGATGAAGGAGACCAATACCCACACAGGGCTGAACGCCAGTGCAGAAGTAAAGCAGCAAATGTTAAGTTTCGAGGACGTGCCGTGTTTCCACGGAGTTTCAATGCTAACTTGGACCCTGAGTTCGAGGGGGGGGGGGATATTATTGCCGACACCTCGAATATCCTCAGTGATTCCACCATCAAGAAGAAGTGGCTACCCACAATATATGAGGACCTCACAGTAGGCTTTGAATAAACAGGGAACCTTAACCGTAGACTCAATATCGTGTTCATAAGACGGGCGATCCCTGAGAAGGCGAGGTTCACACTCTCTAAAATATTCGACAAATAGAGATCACTCAAAAAAGGGTAAATAAAAACTCCGTGGTTTTAGTCCGCAAGCGAACTATACCGATGGAGAGACCGGAGCTTCTCGGCGAAGTTAGTGCCAAATATATGAGCATAAATTGTAGCTAGAAGTGGCATTCATTTCCTATGCTGAGGCCACGGAAAGAAGCCCCATGGATTAATTCCGCAAAGTTGCTCTCCCCACCACAGAGCACATCCCTATGTTCCCCTCCCGTCCTGTAGCCATTCGACTCGCAGAGATGTTGGCAGTTAGAGCCTTCACTGTTTTGTCGTCTGCTTATACTGGTTTCTTGCTTTGCTTACTCTTCAACTCTGAAGATGGAAACTACATGTTTCTCTGAAACGTCGGCTGACTTTCAGTTGTCTACAGTGCGTTATATCCCAGAAAATAAGATTCCTTATTACAAGAGTGTTATAACACCTCTGTGTACGTGTTCGTCTGTATTCCTATACGCAGAACATTTTTATTGATGATTGAAATACGTAACTGAAGTAAAAGCCAACAAATGCCTAGGCGAGGCAGCTTCATAGGGGGATGACTCTTCGGTTCCTGCGTTTAGAATTCCTGACGTAGGGTGTCAGCATGAGGGGTTGAATATCTATTGTGTGTGAAGTACCCCAACACAACAGTGGCTTGGATTCACACGGTGGCTGCACACAAAGCCCCGCGAACTTAGGACACAATGCGTCGAGGAACTAGCCCCTGTGTTGGACACTGCGATCTTGTGTCTTTTTGTTTCGGAATCTGTACAACAGGATCGATATTAGTTCAGTCCTCCACCGAGATTTTGTTTTCTTTTTCCTACCTTCGATTTCGTTGCGTTGATAAATTTACTGGAAAGAACAAACCAGGAGCCTTGCCATGTAAACTTGTATCATGGCTCATGCTTTATGATATAGACCTAAATACAGTGTGTTCCGTTCAAACCTCTCACATTTTAATTAATCGTTGCGAAAAATTGTGATAAATTATGGATTATAATTAACACTAGATGAAAGAAAAACTCAAAGAATTTTATTTCCGTTTTCCTTCGGCTAAGCTACAGAATGTGGCCGCGTTTACCTTGACATGTTAGAACAGTTCCTGTACCCCCAGGCACCCTATCTGCAGCCTAACATAATCTTCCAACAAGATGGAGCCCCCCTTCACGTTGGGGTCTGGATGTTCTGAGGTCCCTCAATCCCACCTTCCAAGATCGCTGCATTGATATGGCGGACCAATTGGTGGCCACCACGTTCACCGGACCTCACTGCGCTCGATTTCTTCCTCTGGGGTTACGTGAAGGACCGTGTGTTCGTGCCTCCAGTGAATGACCTCCCACATTTATGAGCCCGCATCGGTGAAACGATTGCTACTGTACCAATGGACAGGTTGGAAAGAACGTGGCAAGACATTGAACACAGATTGGATACTGTTCGTGCTACCAATGGTGCACATGTAGAGGTTTGTTAGTGTGTCAAATGAAATGTTTTGACTTGTTCTTCTATTTCCTGTAGCTTCATTTTCCTACCATTCATACTTTCTTTTCTAGGATCTGATAAAATGTGTGAAGTTTGAATGGAACATTATATATATTGTTACATTTAGACACATTTCTAGGCAACGTCTGAAATACGCACACGTAACAATAGAACGAATGTCACAAGAGGGGTTTCTTATATGGTTCGCATATATCCATTGCTAGGTAACGGGTAAATGAACACCTTCCCGCGGAGACAGATTGTTGGTAAAGGGCCCATTGCTAGGTAATGGACCAATAAACACGCATCCTAGGACAAAAGAAGAATAGTGTTTTCAGTAAGGTCCGTGTTGAGGAGTTACCTTGAAGAAAATCGACGCTAGGAAATTCAGCCGTAGAGCGAGAACGAAAATAGAGCAAGTCCTCACCAATGAACGGTTCGGCTGAATCCGATCATGCAATGCAGTACCCTGTATTACTAGTCACGGAATCCCGGACACGTGACGATATGTAGGCATTCTCTGAATGTACAACTTATTTGTCGTATTGAACCATATAAATATTATATTAGGAAGAAGGACAGGCAGATGTAGCGAAGCCTACAGTAACAATTATGCTACTCTTTGTTCCAAAAGCGCCGAATGGGAACTCCTAGCCTACGTCACGAGCAGAAGCTGAGCATGGCTAGTGTCCGTGTCATATTGGGCCCGAGACTCTCCACCCTTTTGTGTTGAACAGAAGAAGCGTTATAGCACGGTGACACGCGTTATCTGTCAAGTTAAAAGAAGATCATTTAATTACAATAGGCCTAATTCCATATTATCTTCGGGGTGTTCACTTCACCGCCTCTGTGGTCTAGTGGTAAGAGTTCCTGGCTACAGAACCGGAGGTCCCGGGTTCGATTCCCGGTGCTACCACATTTTCTGAGAAGTAGTGGGTCAGGAACGGGGTCCACTCAGCCTCGTGAGGATAATTGAGGAGATATTTCAAGGAAATAGCGGCTCCGGTCTAGAAAACCGAAATTCGGGGGATTCGTTGCGCTGACCACGCGACACTCTCTGTCCGAAAAAGTTGGCACTAACTTCACCGAAAGCGGCTGTCGCTCGCTCGGTATAGTTTCCTTGCGGACTACAGGCCACAGAGTTTCTTCTTTTTATTTATGAATGGGTGACGCAACGGTAATAGTAACACCTTTGAAAAAAATGGACTGGTTTAACGCAAATGCTCAAATAATTGCTTGATAACCGGCGACAAGGCTAATCGCTGTGACCCACAATATTCACATCTTCAAGAGAGATACAGAAGCTAACTCCACCGAGTGGAGTGTTTTCATGAAACTGATAATTGCTCAGCTGGTCAAGGAATTCCTGGCCTGTTAATCTGATCCCAAATATTCCTTAGCATGCCAGCGGCCTACAAGTAGTCTCCGCTTATCAGTAATCCTGTATTTCAGCATCCCGCTGTACGTCCTTAATCAAACGTCTATGTA